ACAAACACACATAGATGCTGGCTCCTAGAGGCCAAGACACTTTGAGCCCCCAATGGTTTTTTTAGGTGGCTGAGGATTCCGCATTTTTCAGAGGGCAAACGTGGAGCCGGGTGCAGTGCATCTCAGTGCTTGGCAGCTCCTGCTGCTGCCACCACCACTGGCAATGGGTGGCTTCCCCCATCTTTTGCTTGTGTGGCAGAGTGGGAGGACAGGGTCACTGGCCCCTGGGGCTCTGCTGCCACCGCAATCAGCTCTGCCCCCTGGCTCCATGCAACATTGCATGTGTGGCGTCAGGACGTCATGTTGGGCCCCCACAATGTTTTTGAAAAGTTGGCATACACTCCTCCCTATCCTCCATCCAGGGAAGCAAGAGGCTGATCAGAGTCCAAAGACATGGACCAGTTAGATGAAAACACTCCAGGTATGACAAAAGAGCCAGTGAGGGGTATGGCCTGGGGAGAGAGGGGATGGCCTGGGGAGAGTCCAGGGGGCCAGATAGAAAGGCATGGAAGGCTGCATGTAATCCAGGACCTGAGGCTCTCCACCTCAGCTGCACTTGCCCATTCATGAAGTTTTCACTTCCATTTAGCTTCCCCATACACACATCAAATGAACAGGTACAGGTGGGACTGCTGATAGGCTTCACAGCAACCTACATTCATTCACCACCACCATGTAGAACTCTGCATTTGGAGAGAGCTCTCATCCTCTGTAGTGTACATGCAATGACCCTCTTCAGGCTTTCAAAATGATTATTCAAAATTAGTATGGCATGCTCCTTTGCCCTCTCCATGCCTTCCTTTGAATGTCTGAAAAGGTTTGAGATACGTGGTGTAATCGAGGCATCTACCACTCCTCCACCATGCAAGGTGGATCCCCAAATCAGGTGAGTTTATGAACCAGGACTGCTGCTCAGTCGTTCTGAGGTTCCTTCACAGTTCTGACATCCTCCAGATTCAGTCGTTCAGCCAAAGCTCTATAGGATCTTCTCTCTGTATGTGTGTGCACATACTAAAAAAAGTCCTCTGTAACCTATCAAAGTAACCCAGTCAAACTCAAAGAGCTGCTTCTACATCATCACCACTACAGTCGGTGCTTTTATTTGGGGGGACACAGCACCTCTAAACATTTTGTGAATCTAAGTTTGGCCTCATTGAGGGGCAGTATTTCAATATGAGTAGGAAAATGAAAGTAGCCCTAAACATTTTTTTTAAGAAAAAAGGCACTGACTACAGTTGCATCCTACCTTTCCTCTAATGAATAAAAAAGATAAAAAATTGTCCAGTAGCACCTTAGAGACCAACTAAGTTTGTTCTGGGTATAAGCTTTCGTGTGAATGCACACTTCTTCAGATACACTGAAACAGAAGTCACCAGACCTTTATATATTGTGGGAGGGTGCGGTTGGTTTTCCCCCTCTCATGAGATCAAGAAGGCATAAATGGTTCATGCTATATCATCTTATCCTCACCACAATCCTACAATATAGTTTCAGAGGAGAAATGGGCAGTGAGCTTCATGGCTGAGTAGGGATTTGAACCCTGGCTTCCCAGGTCCTAGTCCCACACTCCTAACCATTGCACCAAGCTGACTCTGGGTAGTCATGATGAAAACTGAAACAGGACTGTCAGACTTTTTTCTTTGGCTCCACCCATCATTGCTTTTGGCTCCGCCCACCACTAGCATTCAGCCTCAAGAGAATACACAACTTGCACCCCTGAGCTACAGTTATATTGGTAGGGGTAACAGAAAAAGGTGAGAAAAATCCTTATAGTAGGAATGTCCGGTTTCTGCCAGAATGTTTTCATTCAGGGGGAAATGAGAGTGGGGAGGGCTGGGGGCTACAGCTAAAAGGAAGGCATTACCTTGAAAAAAATCATGTAACAAAAACACATTTAAATCTCTTAGTATAGCACTTTGCCTCGCTGAAGCTATTGTTTTCACCCAACTGTAGATGGAGGAGATAGGTTTATCCACAGGTCTATTCAGGAATCAACAGAAAGCACTCAGGGTCTTCCTGACACAGGTGTTTAACATCGACAGGTGCATTTACCTGTTAAACTGTGAACCTCTCGAATTACAATGAGTTACATGGTGTCAGGTCACATCTTTACAAAGGTGAAGAAGGCGAGTAAACAGAAGAGATGTACTGAGCATTCACAAAAGATTTGGGCCTTTAACATGAGAAGCTTCAAAAGGTTTTGCTATTGTTTATCAGAGGGGGATGAAGTACTGCAGAATTTTCAGGTGTCCCCATTTGGAATAACAATCCTCTATTAAGGATATGGGTGGTACTCCTTATCAATGTAGAAACTGGAGAGCCCTGCTTATGGGCATCCCATAGGCATTTGTTTGGCCACTGTGAGAGAAGGAAGCTGGACTAGGTGGGCCTAAAGCCTGACCTAGCAAGGCTCTTCTTATGTTCTTGCTCTGGTCTACATATGCATGATATTGGGCTGCCACTAAGTGATGAGCAAATCCAGTTTCTCTGAGTTTCTCAGTTCTTCACATTTCCGCATCCGTTTGAGCAGGGCTTTAAAAAAAAAAAGGTCTCGTGGAAAAGTGTCAGCTTTATAGTGCAAATTTCACCTAATATACATGTTGGTATACAATTTTGCCTAACAGACAAAGGCCACTTTAATGATAAAGTACCATGAGAAGGGGGTGTGGGTGGCGCTGTGGGTTAAACCACAGGGCCTAGGACTTGCCGATCGGAAGGTTGGCGGTTTGAATCCCCATGACGAGGGTGAGCTCCAGTTGTTCAGTCCCAGCTCCTGCCAACCTAGCAGTTCGAAAGCACGTCAAAGTGCAAGTAGATAAATAGGTACCGCTCCGGCAGGAAGGTAAACGGCGTTTCTGTGCGCTGCTCTGGTTCGCCAGAAGCGGCTTAGTCATGCTGGCCACATGACCCGGAAGCTGTACGCCGGGTCCCTCAGCCAATAAAGCGAGATGAGCGCCGCAACCCCAGAGTCGGCCACGACTGGACCTAATGGTCAGGGGTCCCTTTACCTTTACCTTTACCTTTACCAAGAGAAGGGAGAAACTTCAGTTGCCCTTCAGCAGTTAGAGCCTGGACAAGAGACTGAGCAACACAGGGTACCTGGTCACAGTCTTCGCCAATATGGTGAAACGTACTGCATCTCTATATAAATTTTAGTAATTCTTTCTAAATGTGCATCTATACATATAAATTGCCATATGCAAATTTTATGTAAAAAAAAGAGGATTGCTTCTTCTCTTGGTACGAAATCCCACAGTGTTGCTTTCCCAATCACTTCACGATCAGAAATGTTGCAGCTGTTGAATGTCTCACTGTTCCTCTGTTCTTGAAAGGCTACATCTTAAATGTGCTCACAACACAGTCACATATACAGTGGTACCTCGGGTTACATATGCTTCAGGTTGCAGATGCTTCAGGTTACAGACTCCGCTAACCAAGAAATAGTACCTTGGTTTAAGAACTTTGCTTCAGGATGAGAACAGAAATCGTGCTCCAGTGGCGCAGCAGCAGCAGGAGGCCCCATTAGCTAAAGTGGTGCTTCAGGTTAAGAACAGTTTCAGGTTAAGAACGGACCTCCGGAACGAATTAAGTACTTAACCCGAGGTACCACTGTATGCCATGTGTCTGTTGTTCTAACTCTGGTTTATAGCCACCATTTTAGCAGGGCTCCCATGCCTTTCATATCTTTCTGAGAGGGATAAATTAAGCTGCTGATATCCCTCAGTGCATCTCAAGCAGAATTTGAAATTCTAGGAGTGTGGAAGTGCTCCTATAGTTAAGGTGAGTAGCAAAAAGATCCTGTCCTTGTAAACAAAATTCTGTCCTTTAATTTGTTTAAAACTATATCTTTGATAAAAGAAAATTTAAAGATGTGAATTGTTTTGATTTTTGACAGGGGCGAACAAGAAATCTTAATACTTAATATATCTGCCTGTTGCCTTACGACTACTGTCAGAACAAAACACATTGCGTGTGTTCCCTCAAATACTGTCGAAATTCTGAAATCAATGTCAAAAACTGATACCCAACATTCTGAGAACATCCGGTGAATGCTCAATACCAGATTCCTAAAAAGGGAATCCTGAGGAGCAAACTCGCTTCAGTTTGTGCCACTCGAAATTAAGAATGACTCCTCAGGAAGAGAATGAAGTTAATTGTAGACAATACAACGCATGCAATATGTGCTGCTCATCAAACGTTGTCACAATGGTTAAGAAACAGTGTGTAATTCCATGTGGCTACACTGCTTGCTGACAATTTCTTGGCCAGGGAGCTCTAATGATGATTGGAGCAGCCTGCCTCAACCGTCAGGAACAAATAACATGGGAGCAGATGCTGCAGCGTGTCTGATATGCTGAGAAAATGAGCAGGTGGGATGAAGGTCCGATTGGCTCAGCCTGAAGACCAAAACAAATGAAAAGCAACTCCAGATAGCTTGACGTGTGTAAAGGGCAAGAGGCTATATACTGTTGACATCTCCGCCAGAAGGTCTGACTAGACTGAGTGACGTTACACAGCCATAGTTGCCATATTGTTCAAATAAATACGTCCTCATTAAAATACTGCTGGTTGTTTTGGGGTTTTGTTTTTTAGGGCAGAGGATGATTGATACGTACAGCCAGGTCCACTGTTTAGTTTGGTACTGGAACAAGATAAACATTTTATGTAGTGTATGAGAGGCCTTATTTAGTGCTAACCGAATAACACGACAGTTGCAGCTCTTTGGCTTGTCATAAGTAGCTATCCATTTAATCCCATACGATACCCTTCCCTGCGCTACAAGGGTCACTTCCTCTTCCCTCTAAATGGGTCATCCTTGGGCAGTTTCCAGAGTCCAAGCACTCTGGCAGGGTCTACCTCTGGTTTCTAGCCTGGTATCCACCCATCTTAAAAACAAACACACAAAAAAGCTGGGTATGGGAGCAGGCGTTATATTCTGCCATGATCCCACCTAGCACTCTGGAACTCTCTGGGAGATTCAAACAGCAACGCCTAGTCTACCAGAACTGGTCAGAACAACACTGAAACCTGCTGCTGTTGCCCCTACTTCCGCCATCAGATGCACCCACTAGGCCTCATCAAGGTAGGAAAGGATCCACCAGATCCCTTCTGCAACCCAGCTTGGGCCATCCAGTCACCAACGTTGCCCAAGGTCACACTGAAAAGTTGTTACAGTCATACCTCAGGTTACAGATGCTTCAGGTTGCGTTTTTTCAGTTTACGGATGCTCCGAAACCCGGAAGTACCGGAACGGATTACTTCCGAGTTTCGCAGGTCACACATGCGCAGAAGCGCCAAATCACAACCCATGTGTGCGCAGAAGTGCTGCTGCGGGTTGCGAACGTTCATCCCGCACAGATCACATTCGCAATCCGAGCGTCCACTGTATTTGGGAGTGTAAGAGAGGAGCTGGCTGTTGGCTTCCCTGTTGTAAGGAAAAAGGATCCTCTGATTAGGGATAAATATTTGCTGAGATCAAATGGATCTGGACTACCAGTAGCCTTCAGAAAAGACTGTAGCTCAATGGTAGAACACTTGCTTTGTATGCAGAAGTACCCAAGTTCATCCACCGCCATGTTTTGCTTTCTGTTTGCAGGCTTGCCATAAGCATCTGGTTGGCCACTTTAGGATTCTGGAGCAGATGGGCCTTTGACTCTTTTTATGTTCTTTGCTTCTCTAGGCAGGGCTGGGAACATCCCCTGCTCCCCAGCTGAGGAGACCAGCCATCAGTCCATGTCAACAATACTGAGCTGGATGGACCAATGTTCTGATTCAGTATAAGGGGGCTTCCGATATTCCTATGAGCAATTGTGGGAGGGAAAGCTGCACTCTGCACTTCTTTTCAGGGCTGTAACGAAAGCGCATCAGCTAAAATATTTCAATGCTTTTGTGGGGTACGGTTTACTTTCAGCTAGACCTGTGCCAAACACTCTGCCCTGATTACTCAAAAGTTCTTCTCCTGCGAAAGAGGCCTCAACATTTCTGCCTTTTTCTTGGGGCACTTTGAAATTTCTGAAATTTCTGAAATTGCACTTTGATGTCTGTGGGACAGCCTCCCCAGGTGTCTGCACTTCCTGGTCTGAAAAAGCCCCTGGGAGAAAGTTGCTTCACGACACCTTTCTGTTAGTTTAACTGAAACACAAGAAGCCACAAAGGCTGGCTTCCAAGTGCAGTCACAGATATTTTTCTTCTTTCCTTTTTGAAAAGAGAAGTCCTTTTCACATTTTTGCTGATTTCTTTAGAAGTATAAACACTTTAAAACAAACAACTGCCAAACACATGGCAGGCAGGACCCCCCCTTCCCAAACTTACAGGAAGGACAAGCTGGGGAGGCCACTGTGTTTACAGGAAAAGCAGGCGGTCAGAGTGCATATCTCTGGAGAGATACCCTCTCCTGGACTTTGATTGAAGTGTGGGCACCTGGGAAGGCTGCAAAGACCAGACAATGGTGAGATGATTTGTAGAATGAAAGATGAAATACCCTTTCTCGATGACCTCAAAAGTAAGGTAAGTGCAACAAAAATTCTGCACACAAGAATTTCAGCGACGTTTTCTCTCCCCTTTGATAACTTTTGAATGCGGTTTCTTTTCTTATAATTGGAGAATTGTCAGCAAAAAAAGAGAGGATAATTTTTCAGCACTTTCAACAAATTTCTCAAGGATTTATGCCAGCTTTTGCCTACAGACATTGTATGCAATTGACAGAACACTGTGCTTGTTTGTAAGCCACAAAAGGTAATTCGGGAGGGGCCAGCTGCTTTCAAAGTATGCCTTGCTCCACGAGAAAGGAAAGCGAAGGCAAACCATTCTTTTAAACTAGTAGCTTAAATTGTTATTATGGTTACATCCAAACTGAAAGAAATCCAGTTATCCCTGTTGAGTTCTTTTTTAAAAAAAAAGCAACATAATTATTATTGTCTTATTGCAACAAAACAGATAATTACGCCCTGCAATTCTGCCACTGGTAATTCTACATAATTTGTTCCAAATCTGCCTTTTGACATGTGTAAGAAAAGAGAAAAAGAGGGAGTTGTTTTCAGGGAACATCCTGGGAACCACTATAAAGTAAATAAATGCTGGTGAATCCCCTGTTCCATACACTTTTGAAATACAGGAAGTAGGCAATATGAAACCGTGTGTGTGTGTGTGTGTGTGTGTGTTCAGCAGCCAAAAAAAAAAAATAAACCCTATAAAGTGCAGAGTTGAGGCTAGATCAATTTAAATGCCAAAAAAGACTGCAAATGTTTTGCCTTCAGTGGTCACTGCAGCAATGTTAATTCTGGGCTGAAACATATGCCGTTCATGAATTGGACTTCACATGCATGCAAATTTCATAGGTGACTGGATAAAGGAAAGGCAGAAGATCTCAAGAAAGATTTCACTAAAGTTAACTTCTTCTAAAAATGGACGTGGGTGGCGCTGTGGGTTAAACCACAGAGCCTAAGACTTGCCGATCAGAAGGTCAGCGGTTCGAATCCCCACGACAGGGTGAGCTCCCGTTGCTCGGTCCCTGCTCCTGGCAACCTAGCAGTTCGAAAGCACGTCAAAGTGCAAGTAGATAAATAGGTACTGCTCCGGCGGGAAGGTAAATGGCGTTTCTGTGCGCTGCTCTGGTTCGCCAGAAGTGGCTTAGTCATGCTGGCCACATGACCCGGAAGCTGTACGCCGGCTCCCTCAGCCAATAAAGCGAGATGAGCGCCACAACCTCAGAGTCGGCCACGACTGGACCTAATGGTCCCTTTACCTTTACCTTTAACTTCTTCTATGAGTCTTTTGCCACAATCTGTGCACACCGGCATTTAACACAGAGGCACATTCTTTTCTGCACCATGATGCTCACCCCAGCTCTGCTGAGCTGCCTGGAAGAGTCTTCCAGCAAACAACACTGAGCAACTCTGCCTGGGGCCACTTCGTTGCTGGGTTGGGTTTTCATCAGTATGCAGATGATACCCAGCTCTACCTCCCTTTCAGATCAGAACCAGTGAAGGCAGTGAAGGTCCTGTGTGAGTCTCTGGAGGTGGTTGGAGGATGGATGACGGCTAACAGATTGAGGTTGAATCCTGACAAGACAGAAGTACTGGTTTGGGGGGACAGGAGGCGGGCAGGTGTGGAGGACTCCCTGGTCCTGAATGGGGTAACTGTGCCCCTGAAGGACCAGGCGCACAGCCTGGGAGTCATTTTGGACTCACAGCTGTCCATGGAAGCGCAGGTCAATTCTGTGTCCAGGGCAGCTGTTTACCAGCTCCATCTGGTACGCAGGCTGAAACCCTGTCTGCCCACCTATCGCCAGCGTGGTGCATGCTCTAGTTATCTCTCGCTTGGACTACTGCGCTCTATGTGGGGCTACCTTTGAAGGTGACCCGAAAACTACAACTAATCCAGAATGCGGCAGCTAGACTGGTGACTAGGAGCGGCCGCCGAGACCACATAAAACCAGTCTTGAAAGATCTACATTGGCTCCCAGTATGTTTCCGAGCACAATTCAAAGTGTTGGGGCTGACCTTTAAAGCCCTAAACGGCCTCAGTCCGGTATACCTGAAGGAGCGTCTCCACCCCCATCATTCTGCCCGGACACTGAGGTCCAGTGCCGAGGGCCTTCTTGTGGTTCCCTCACTGCGTGAAGCCAAGTTACAGGGAACCAGGCAGAGGGCCTTCTCAGTAGTGGCACCCACCCTGTGGAACGCCCTCCTACCAGATGTCAAAGAGAACAACAACTAACAGACTTTTAGAAGATATCTGAAGGCAGCCCTCTTTTAATGTTTGACGGACCACTGTATTTTAATACTTTGTTGGAAGCCACCCAGAGTGGCTGGGGAAACCCAGCCAGATGGGTGGGGTATACACAATTATTATTATTATTATTATTATTACATGTGCAATAGCTACATACGTACAACTACAGCTGGATCAAGGCCAGAGATTTCAATGGGAGGGTTGGTTGTGTGCCCAGCCTTTCCCAACTGAGCCGACGTTTACAGCCAGATCCTATGCATATTGACTTGGGAGTACATCCCTTTGAACGGAATTAAACAACATCCCAAGTAACTGCTAAGAAGGTTACAGTCATAACCTGTGCCCCTTTTCATTTTTTATTCTCTTCGATTCTCAAAAATATCCATTGTAGCTCATTTTAGTATGCTTCCCATATTTCCACATTTTTTGTTCATTGCGCACCATTTTTATTTTCTTTTTGTCCATTTGACATGAGGAGGGAGCCACCATAGTCAGATTTGGAGAATAGGGGATAGTGCCATTTAGTAGCTGATACTTCCAAGGGGCCTTTCATGTCTTTCTTGCTCTTTCTATTATAAATTACTGTATTTTTCCTGTTTTCAGTATAGTTTTCTTGTGCAATACATTTATTCACAGTTAGTAAAATACTAAGCAGGCAGAGCCATCCAGCATGACCAAAGGCCAAGGATGATGTGAGCTGAAGTTCACCTTTTAGTTATGGAGAACATTGTCAGGAATGTTCATTCTTGGAATTAGATTCAGTGTTCACTTTATGTGAATATAATTTTAGAAGCTCCATGACAGTTACTTAGCTGGGCAATATTTATGACGGAACTAGCAGTTCAGGTAATTCCAATCCCTTCTTCCCTCCCCCAAACACAACATTAGTAAACTCTTAAATACTCCCCAAAGATCTTCTTCTCTTTTCTTGGCAGGGACATGAAACTCTCATTAGTGTCAGCAAGGGTCGTGGTCATATATCAGGAGCTGAAGAACTCTAAATAAATTAATTGGATTCCCCACATCACTCACCCTCTTCAGTGAATGGGGGCTATTCAGATTCATGCATGTTTTGATTTCAAAGCTAAGGCACCCAGTGTCGTTTCATGGAAGATGTAGGATGGATGGGCCACCAGCTTGGATGGTTTTGAAAGGCATTTCAACAAAGTCGTGGAGGATGAGCCTGTCAGTGGTTATTGTGCTGGGAAACACAAGTGGGAAGAAACTGTGATGTTTCTGGTTCCAACAAACCATACCAAGGATGAGGAATAGTTTTATCGAAGAAGCTGTATTCAGCGGTGCTTCAAATACTCTCTGCTAGAACTGAAAATCAGAGCCTAAGGAACATTTTGCTGTCCTGCTTTTAAGACTCACCAGGTTCTGGGAGATGGAGGGTCTGGAATGCTTTCTAATGGCAACATGTCAGAGCTGGGTGTTGCTCTGGCTCTCCCATGATTTCCCAACTTCCCCCCTCATCTGCCTTTGAGCTGCTACCTCCCTCAAACCCCTGTTGTAAATCTATACAGTGGTACCTCGGGCTAAGTACTTAATTCGTTCCGGAGGTCCGTTCTTAACCTGAAACTGTTCTTAACCTGAAGCACCACTTTAGCTAATGGGGCCTTCTGCTGCCGCCGTGCCGCCAGAGCACAATTTCTGTTCTCATCCTGAAGCAAAGTTCTTAACCCGAGGTAATATTTCTGGGTTAGCGGAGTCTGTAACCTGAAGCATATGTAACCTGAGGTATCACTGTACTCTCTTTCTCTTCCTCCTCCCTGGAAGGGTCAGGATGGGGAGGTGGTCTTCACCGTTCCTCCTCTGCCCAGTCCCTGACACCAACATGGTTGATTCCACCCTGGCTTCATGGGCTGGATCAGTCCGGGACCTGATCCATGTCTTTGGTAAGAGCACCATACCTGCTGCATCTTTCACCCCCTTTGACTCATTCCTACCTGTCCCATCTGTGCATTACCATATGTGCAGGTGCACCCCAAAAGCAATCTTGGTCGTACACATGGCCACAGTGAAACATTACTCCCATAATAAAGAGCATTTAATCATGGACGTGACTGCGTCGTGGCAATGACACAGTGCTTTAAGACACATGAGCACTGGTCATGTAGGGAGCGAAGGAAAGATGCAAATAAATGGAAAAAATGGTAAGCTCAGACAAACCACCCATGCAGTATTTCTGGGATTGATTTTGCAGATTCTCCTGGTTAATTCAGAATATGGGAGGAGTGAAGAGGGAAACAAAGGAACAATAAAGGAAGAGAATAGGAGAAATTCTCTCACCCCCTCAAATGGATGTGGTCACTGTGGCGATCACACAGGGTCCCCGGAAACTTCACTGTCTACTGATCCCTGTGCCACCATTTTATTTCGTGCTGCCACCACCCAGGCCCTACCTGGTACAATACTGAGTCAAGTCAGGGTTAAATTGGAACATAAACTTCTGTTTATTTATTGCAGTTTAACAAATGTGTGGTTTCATAAATGGTATCGGTCAATTACAATCATGGGGTGCCTATCCAGACCTATAACTTCCGCTACCTGCTCTCACTCACTAAACCACCTCTCAGATATTTACTTGTCTTCCTAGCTCCTAACTGTTCCTGACTTAGCTTATTTTGCTACACTAACTCAACCTCCCCACAGACTCTATCCCAATTCACTCCCACTCCAACCAACCACCCAACTCCCAATGAACTCCTCCTTTTGCCCCTCCCAGAGCTGGTTTTATAGTCCCTCTGACTCCACCCCCTGGGTCCTGATTGGGTAACCTGTTTAATTATTTCTCCTCCAGCACTCTCATATGTATGTCACAGTCACCAAGGCATTCATGCTGCCTGCAGTGGGGGCCCCAGCACGAACAACTGTCTCTCCCATTTCTGCTAGCATTTGGGGGGCATGAGTGGCTGTGAGTTCCGGGGTGAGGGAAGCCAGGCAAGTCATCAAATCTGCTGAGCTCCCCTGGGTGTATAGGCCCTGGCAAATGCCCCAGTAGGCCAAGTGCAGATTCCAGGCCTGGTGTCCAAGCTATGGACAGAAGGCATGCTGAAGCTAAGCAGGCCCAGCTGTAGTCAGTACCTTGATTGGGTGACCGTCTTTGGACCACTTGTACACCACCTTGAGTCCGTAATTTATTTTTTTAAAAAGCAGGATATAAACCTAAGAGAATAAATAATTAAAACACGTATTAAATTAACATATACAATCAGTGCCGATTTTTGCACATTCCCTAAGGCAACTGATTCGTGAAGATAGGCTTGCAAAAACACAGATACAAAGAAAGAGGGAGGGATATGTATGTCTGAGAGAGAGAGAGAGAGAGAGAGAGAGAGAGAGAGAGAGAGATTTAAAGATGATTTTGGATGTCATATTGGAACTGAAACCCTCCTTGAACTGGCTGTGGAGCTCTTTTAATCTCAGCTACTTGAGCGTTTTTCTGACCCGCTAGAGCAAATAGCTTCTAAGGTTACCCGAGGATCGGATTTTGTTTTGTTTCTTTTAAGTGGGAGAGCATTACAGGTCTTCTCCATGGTACAGTGATCATTGTTCTGCACAATCGAGGTTCACTGCTGTGAAAGCTAAGCTCCTGTTTCAAATCTACTGTGGTCTGAGAAAGCCACCACTTTAATAATGCCCTGGCTGTGATGCTAGCAAAACATTATCAATTTAGGCCTTAAATTTTGAAGTACCAGGAGGCTATATTGACAGAGGAGGGGGGGAGTAGTCCTGTCTGTGATCTTATTTAAACAGTGAGCAACGGACTTGATGCCAAGGCCAGCTTCAGATTTCAGGGGGTATGATGCTGCCAGGGGGCACCCATTCCTCAACTCACCCACCCAATGCAGCAACATCCTTTTCCTCTGCTGTTGCTGCCATTGGGGAGGCAGCAACACGAATGATTGGCTCCTCCAGCTTGACCAGCCATCGTGGATCTGAATTTGGCTCTCATTCAAAAGTAGCAGTGCCTGTTGGGATATTCCATTCCACCTTAAGGGACAGGCATGATTGTTGTGTGTCACATGTCTGTTTACACTCCAGCACAGCTTGCTGGGAACTTCCGTTTGTGTATAGCTTTTGCTTATGCTGCTTGCTTGGACACGAAGGAGAAAAGACATGTTTTCCTCTTGTCCTGATGTATGCTGAATAAACTGCTTGTAAATATGCTCAACACAGTCTCTCCCCACCACTTCTGTTGCGCAGCGCTATTTACTCTGCTGAGTTGTGTGCTCCAGCTTCTGAAGGTGTCTGAAGCTGGGGTCGCAGTTTCATGCTGATCTACGGACTGAAGGTCGCCCGGCACACCAGCCAGTGGGCTAGGGTCAGCTGGGGCCCTGCCAATTGCCCCCGATTCCTTGGCTGCATCCCAACAGTGTTGCCCGCCCACCACTATCTGAATATTATGTTTGACCTGGTTTATCTTTAGTTCGACCGCGAGAGTGCCTGTCTCTCAAGTGTATATGAAAGTTTGATGCTTCATTACGCTTTTATATTTCTTGAAGCTGCCCAGAGTGGCTGGGCAGAGTACAAATAAAAAAATCACCATCATCATCTGAGTGAGTTTAACATGGCCGGATAAACTTCATGCAAATATAAGCAAATAATTTGTTGTATTCATGGAAATATATGCAAAATATTTATAAGTTACTTATATCCAGGTTGATAGCCTGAGAGCAGTTTTCAAAGCAGCTTACTCAAGCTTTCCATAATATAATCATAGTCCATTGTAGTATCAGGAGTAGAAATAGTTTGGTCCACCTGGTAATGCCAAGAGCACTATCCAATTTAATTGTAATGCTTCAGGGACAGGGCGTCTTCTATCACCTCGGGGAAGAACCACAGTTTAGTGATTGAGCATCTGCCTTAGAAGCAAGAGGTCCCAGGTTCAAAGAGACCTGCCTGAAATCATGGAGATTGGCTGCCAGTCAGTGTAGACAGTAGAGGAGACTTAGAGGAGATGTGACAGCCATTTTCAAATATTTCACATGGAGGATAGAGCAAGTTTGTTTTCTCCTGCTCTGGAGGGTAGGACTCGAACCAATGGCTTCAAGTTACAAGAAAGGAGATTCCGACTAAACATCAGGAAGAACTTTCAGATGGTAAGAGCTTTTCTCAGTGGAATGGTCTCCCTCGGGAAGTTGTGGACTCTCCTTCCATTGAGGTTTTTAAGCAGAGGTTACAGGGCTATCTGTCATGGATGCTTTAGTTGAGATTTCTGCATTATCCCTTGTGACTCCTTCCAACTCTACAGTTCTATGACTCGGTATAAGGCAGCATCCTACGTTACTCCCCACATTTGTGGAACTCCCAGCCAAGAAATATTAATACTTGATCCCATCTTTGTTAGTTTGATATGGCCCTTGAAGAGCTTTTCATTATCTCAGACAAGTCTTCCCCAAACTGGTTCTTTCCAGATGTTTCAGACCCCAACTCCCATCAGCCCCAATGGTAAAGAAGGATGTATGGCATTACTGGGATCTCAAAGGGGGAAATGACGTCTGGGGAATTTTTCCAAAAGGCGGCACTTTGTCCTGGATCTTAGGCAAAAAAAAAAAAAAAGCCCAACAAGTCTTTTCCCCCCAAAAAGCTCAACATCTTCTTTTTTTCAGGGCAACCCTAAAGGATGGGAGTTGTAGTCCAAAACATCTGGATAGCACCAAGCTGCCATCAATTGAATCCTGGTGGGGATTTTTCACTTTTGTGATACATATCCATTTTGTTTTTTTAGCCTTTGTTGTTTTAATCATGTCACTGCTGCTGTGAGGATCGTCACTTTATGAATTGCTGCTGTTTCAATGAATTGTTTGCAGAGACATCACCTTGCCAACAAAGGTCCATATAGTTAAAGCTATGGTTTTCCCAGTAGTGATATATGGATGTGAGAGCTGGACCATAAAGAAGGCTGATTGCCGAAGAATTGATGCATTTGAATTATGGTGCTGGAGGAGACTCTTGAGAGTCCCATGGACTGGAAGGACCGATCCTGAAGCTGAGGCTCCCATACTTTAAACCTGATGAGAAGAGAAGACTCCCTGGAAAAGACTCTGATGTTGGGAAAGATTGAGGGCTCAAGGAGAAGGGGACGACAGAGGACGAGATGGTTGGACAGTGTTCTCAAAGCTACCAGCATGAATTTGACCAAACTGCAGGAGGCAGTGGAAGACAGGAGTGCCTGGCGTGCTCTGGTCCAGGGGGTCACAAAGAGTCAGACACGACTAAATGACTAAAAAACAACAACAACATCAGATTTTTCTTTTCTTGGCTTGTTATTTTAACATTGATGCTCTGCGGTTGTTATTTCTTCAATTTTTGTTTGTTGCTCTGGTTCTGCACCCTTTTATACATTGTATGATGTTTAAATCTGCAAACCATTGTGCATTTAGGTTGCTGCTGTTTCTAAGAAGGTGGAATAGAATTTATTTTGCAATAGTCTTAGTTGCTTCTATTGTTAGCCCTGAGAGTATGATATTGCAGAGAGTATCGTGCAAGTGTGTAAACAGATAAAGATGCTCACTATTTTGCACGAGGGATTTCAGTGCATAATGGAAATGGAGAGTTCTGCAATTAAAGTTTATTCAAGCGCTCTTTCACCCTGGTACAACAAAGCTGATTGTGGGTTTTTTAAAAAAATATAAAAAATACAGGCTTATTGCAGTTATAACAGTGATGGGGCAATACACTGAAAAGCCTGGAATGAATGAATGATTAGCAAGAAGATGCATGAACATCCCGCAAGCAAACAGAGATGAATGTTTACTGCCATATAACCTCCACCAGACCACATAATTGTCTAACCTCCCTGCCGGCTTTCTGCAAGGGTGAAAGTTCAATAAACAGGTTGTCCAGAGGACTCTAAATAAATGAAAATGAAAGGCACAGGGGCAGGCCAGCCTATTTCCTCCCCAGCTCAACTGGCACCCTTGGTCCCTCTCGGCAAAGGTAACAGGAGAAGAGAACCTTGGTGTTATTTCCATTTTAGCCCGCTAAATTGGGTTTCCCCTTTTTGAAATGCCCGCCTGCCCACAAAGCAACACAAATTCCACACAATGAGATAAGACACTGTGAAACCATTCAACGTCGCCGGGGTCCGTGTGCCAATGGCAAAGTGTAGCTGAACAATGGCTTGCTAAACAGCAGCACAGTATTAATTGCTAATTATTTCACCAGCCTGTCTGAAATGCAACTCCCCTCCCCAGCCTCCTAAATCAATTTTTAATCCATTTAAACAGCCAAGGAATGCTCAATCACAAAACATGTAATTACAGGGGATTATATCACACCTCCAGCATTTTGGCAATGGGACTCGGTGGCAAAAGATAAAAAAAAGAAAAAAAGAAAGAAAGAAGGTAGCACCAGATTGTTTTATTCATGAATTTTTCTACTTAACAGCAAAATTGCTAGTTATCGCTACAATGCATTCTTTGTTCAGACTTTTGGCTCCCATTCTTCAGGTTTAGAAATAAGACTTTAAAGTAAATAGAGACATACAAAAAGGACCCCCGCCCGTACCCTACTCATATCAGCACCATGATAGGGAAGCAAGTAAAGCTAATATTAATTCTAAAAAGGAATTGAAAACATTAGTAAAGTAAATTCCCCCAGGGTATGGCATGGTAGATCGCAATGCTACCTGTATTGCTATCATAGCTTTTTTCATGAATATGGTTTTTTAATGATGCGGTCTTTGCATAGAATTGGATTCATATATATATGAATGAAACCAAGGGATGTAAGATTTATGGCTGATTTCTGCAACCTGTTACATTTTGGACTACAACTCCCATCATCCCCAGCCAGCAGTCTAAAACATCTGAAGGTGATAAGTTTGGAGAAGGCTGATTTAGGGAGTGGAGGTGTCTGGGGTAATTGTGTTTGGTTTGGATCTCAACTTCCAAATTCATGGCTCTACTTGAAATAGTGGGGTGCATGGGGTGTTGGGGGAGGAGAAGTGCCTTTGGAGGGGGACATGTTGTGCTCCATCTGGGGTAGATTGTCCACTTTGGTTCCCACCCTGCACTTGGCTCTCACCTGTGGCTCCTAGAAGTTGTCAGCATGCAACAGCAGCTACAGCCCAGGAAACGGCTTTGACTGGTCGACTAAACCAGGTGAGGTTAGGGGCTTCCCCTGCATGCAAAGACAGACTCTGGTGGATTGAGCAGACAAGACCCATAGTGGTGTTGGGAATTTCATTCCTCCCGTGCTGCAGATGTGTGGGATTGTTGCATGTCACATGTCTGTGTTTACATTCCAGCACTGATTGTTGGTGTCTTGTGAGCGGAAACTGAGATACAGTGGTACCTCGGGTTACAGACGCTTCAGGTTACAGACGCTTCATGTTACAGACTCCACTAACCCAGAAATAGTACCTTCGGTTAAGAACTTTGCTTCAGGATTAGAACAGAAATCACGCGGCGGCGGTGTGGTGGCAGCGGGAGGCCCCATTAGCTAAAGTGGTACCTCAGGTTAAGAACAGTTTCAGGTTAAGAACGGACCTCCAGAACGAATTAAGTTCTTAACCTGTACGCTGTTCCGTTCTCTATAGCTATTGCTTTTGCAGTTCCTTCTCCAAGGAAGAAAGACAGAGAGAGAAGCCATGTTTTCTTTGTTCTGTTACATTTGATTTTCTGCGCAATAATTTAGGCTTAGATGTTACACCTCAAGGCACAGCTTCCATTTGGACTCTGCTAGTCATGTGCTCATGTCCTTGGATATGAAGAAGAAGAGTTTGGATTTGATATCCTGCTTTATCACTACCCAAAGGAGTCTCAAAGCGGATAACATTCTCCTTTCCCTTCCTCCCCCACAACAAACACTCTGTGAGGTGAGGCTAAGAGACCTCAGAGAAGTGTGACTGGCCCAAGGTCACCCAGCAGCTGCATGTGGAGGAGCAGGGACGCGAACCCGGTTCCCCAGATTACGAGTCTACCGCTCTTAACCCCTACACCACACTGGCTCTGAGTCACATCAGCATGATGGGACATTGGAGTGATGAATCCCAGGCGACACTGCGTTGGGGTGGAAAGGCACCAGCCTTGGCGTTATCACCCAACAAGTGGGTCCAATGGTCAAGAGGGGACATGCTGCAGAGGGAAGTGAGGGGCAGTTGGGGCTTGTCAACATGGGAAGGTAGCCCTAGAAGAAGGAAAACTCCTAAACCTTCACTGCCTTGCTGGATATCTTCAGGAGAAGAAAAGGCTAAAGAGTAAACCCTACACAAATCTGTAGTCCCTAAGACGGCTGGATGGCGCCTCCTACAGCTCCTTCTAGCTGGTGCCAAACGTCCTGCTCAACTTTCCTTCCGACCACATCAGTGTGGCTCAGAAGCAGGTTTTGTCGTCTGGGAGTCCCAGAACACACTGCCCAGGCTTGTGTCTTGGGGAGGTCACTTCAGTGCTGCTAATGCAGCTGTTTGACTCCTCCCCAAGGCATACCCCATTGTCTCTCAAGACAGACAGATGCCAACAATTTGCAAGCAGTGAATTTGGGGGAGACTTTTCAACACGAAAAAGATGGGGGACTTCGTGTAAGAGGTTTGGACAGCATTATTTTTCAGATCTTTTAGGTGGGAATCTTCTTGGCAGTTGCTGTCTAGTGGCCACCATTCTCCCCCCCCCCCAAAAAAAAGAGTTGGGGTGCAGGGAGAGTTGGGGCAAGAAAGAGCTCTCCAGCTGCATTGGACAGCCACTCCCCCAGCTGGTGACACCCCAAAAGATACTTTTTTAAAAAAGAAAAGAAGACTCACAGTTGCAGCCTACTCAAATGTTAACCTCCCTCAATCCCTTAGAAATGGTCTTCCTTTCCAAATTGCCTTCAGGTTTCCTTCCAGTTCCCCCTCCCCCCATTCAAACCTCCTCTGTTGCTGCACCCAGGTTTTGAACTCCTTAGCATCTAGTCCAGCAACCTGTTCTCACTGTAGCCTGAAAGAGAATCACAAATTGGGAGAGCTCTGTGACACTCAGGTCCTCCTTCTCTGGTTCCTATAAGCATCCAGTTGGCCACTGTAAGAATAGGATGCTGGAAAACCCAGCAAGGCTCTATTTATCATCTTGTGCTTCATGGTTTCCTTGACTCGAAGAAGAGTAAAAACACAGACTTTCTCTTTTCTTTTGTGGCATTTGAAATGCTGATTTTAGGTCTGGTTCCAGAAAACACTGGAAAGATTCTTGATCATATATGCCATGCGGGAAAAGAAAAGGGGCCAAAGTGGTCAATAATTGGCATAAGAGATAGGAATTATTAAACACACATATACTTGTTTAAAAAAAGAATTGGTGCAGACAGATATCTTTGCAAGCCACAGAGTGGCTTCCAGATTTATAACAGATAATATTATGTAATATATAGCTTTCCAGGCTGCTACAGGAACACTAATCAAATAAACCATATAGGCTCCATTCCTATATCCACTTACTTTGGAGTAAGCCACATTGAACTCAGTGTGTCTTACTTCTTAGTAGACGTGTGCAGGATTGTGTTGTAAAACATACTTTTTGCCAATGAACAGTATCTCTGTGTGTGTATTCGAGCAAGAAAAAAATGTTTTTCTTGGCTAATCGAGACTCTGCAGCTACTTATGTTTAGGGGAAATGATAATTTAATGCATTCATGGGAGTTGTAGCCTGGCCTTCTCCCTCATTCCGAGTTACAGGAAATGTTCTTACTGAATGGGATTCTGAATACCAAGAAGCCAAACTGAAAGGCAGATACTGAAATGTTGTGATCTGATTTATACAACCACAACCATGCAAAAGAGAACTACAACCCAAAAACTCGGTGCATGCAACTGCTTGATCTAGTTATATACACCAATACAGACTAACCCATTGCCTTTAAATAAAACTCATCAACTTGGGGATTCTTTAGCTGCGATTCCTGCATTCTGTGCATTCTGCTCAGTGAACATAGGAATATAGGAATATAGGAACATACCTTGTACAGAGTCGGACCATTGGACGTTCCAGTTCAGCTTTGCCTACACTGACTGGCAGCAGCTCCCCATGTTACAGGCAGGGAATCTTTTCCAACCCTTTTGAACCCAGGGCTTTCTGCATGCAAACAGGTGCTGTACCACTGAGCCATGGCCCAATGGTGCTTCTTCTCATGTACGGTGGTTATAGGATTGTATCTCAGTCTTGGAAACTGGTCCAATGAAAACTGCCATCACCTAGCCTAATAGCACAATTCCCAGGGCCACAGAAAGGCTTGTGAGCGCCAAGACCTGTCCTGGGCCCTCCAAGCTGAGGGACTAGAGAGTGATTGGCCATAGCCGTGAGCCTCCAGTTGGATTTCCCACAATGCCGTGGGTGGCACTGTGCTTGGCACTTCAAGGCATTGTGGGGAATAAATTGGCAGGTCTCAGTCCCCTTTGAACTGCTGTTACTACCACCTGCGCCAGGTAAGCCCAAAGGAGAGAGCATCAACATCAGAGGAGGGCACGGGAAGAAACTTTTAAATAAACTATTTATGTTAGGACTCAGCTACATTATTATTATTTTTAAAGTGTTTTAAATGTGTTATAACACTGTGACACCAGATGGAGCTGTAGAGTTCTGTCTTACGGCAACATGTTTACAATGTGTTTTCCTGAAACACGTTTGTTTGTTTTTTGCTGGTACTTCCCAACTGGTGCCATTCAAAGCCAGCCTAACTTTTACATGAATAAATGAAGAAAATGCAGGCTTCCTAGATAGAAAGAGGCGCAAGTCTGAGGTTAAGCCTGAAGAAAACTGACTTGCAATGTTCTCATGCTTAACCCTATTGAAATCAGTGTGGCTTTCCTGAGTTCAGTCTTGGCTGGACCATGTTGTGTATTCTTCAAACCCAACCTCAGCAGCAAGCAGTTTCATCTCATCAGTATTCACATCCATATATAAAGAATGAGAAATTCTCTCTTTTCTTTTTCTTCTTCTGACATCACTCATGTACCCAGGTGCTAAAGTCTCCCCTCCACCTGTTTTTGCAACTTACTGACACGCTCCTTTCATTCAGGAACATGAGCATGCTACCTACCTGCCACCTGATCCCTTAACACCCTTTGATGTCCTTCTGCCCTGCGCCCGAGGTCGAAGTCGACAGCGGACATGCCTTTGGTATGAATGATTTAAGGCAACAGGTGAAAGTCTTTACATGCGAATACTTACAACGGCCTTTCAAGGTCTCGGTATCAGTTACGATCATATTCCCCAAGTGGTCCCTTGCGTATTCCCAATTGTGTTGCTGTTTATACAACTTGCTGCCCTGCCACATTTCATGGCTTTTTATTATTATTTTTAATGAATTGTGCACACAGATCCTCTGATTCTTGCCTGGGGGAGCATCTCTCAAGCAGTCATCCTTCATTAAGGGGAGCTGCCATTCACTGATGAGACAACAGCAGATCACGGATGTAAGTTTCCTGTTAACTTCTTTGAGTCCCACCTGCTCTCTGCATCCACTGACTCTAAACTTCTGAGGGAGTCAGCCAAAAACGGCTGTAGTTTTGCTGATGCAGTATGTTTGAGAGTTTGGTGCTCTTTCTGGGTTTTTGATTTTACAGCTTGGATTTTAACGATGCTTTAAGACCATTTTCAATTGCGTCTGAATTAAATTTTATGTGAGCAGCTCCGAAGGTTCATTTGAGGTCTTATAGGACAGGATATAAATGTAAAACATATAGCTCCCTTGTCCCTTTTATTCTCCTCTCCCTTTGTTTCCACTCTACCTTGACAGCTCTTACTTTTATGAGGTATAAAATAAGACAACCTGCCCCACCTTTGTGGTCTCTAGGTGATTTGAACTTCGGCTTCCATCATCCCTTACAACTGGCCATGCTGTCTGGGGCCGATGGGAATTAGGGCCCAAAACATCAGGAATGCACCAATTTGGGGGAGACTGGACTGGGATTTAAAACAAAAAACAACAACATCTTCTTCTCTTGATGCTGAAAGGACATAAGAGGAGGAGCTAGGTAAGTCTCCCTGGGAAGGATGTTCTCCCAAAAAGGTCCAACAGGTGAACAGGCCAACTGAGTCACCCACCTAACTTGGGATGATTACAATGCTACTGCATACATGTGGGGAAAGATTGTTTCATTTTTAATTTGTATACTGCTTTTCTATATTACTATACACAAGTCAGTTTATAGCAACAAAATGCACAACAAAGAACCGCACCTTATAAAACATAACTTTAAAACGGAACAACTTATATCTGATAAAGAAATATTCAATAATCTATTGGAATATATTAGTACCCAATAAATTTGACTCTCAAAACATCAGCAAACAATAATTAAACAGAAATTAACTCTTAACAATTACAATAAATAAATATTGAATTATGATCGGTAAAAATAACTTCAGGTTGGGGAAGGCTGAGGTAAGGCAGCATCACTAATCGGTCCAGTTTTCGTTGAAGGGGGTATCAACCTTTCAGTTAACTAAGACATGGGCAGAATAAAAAGGTTCTCCAACTATTTGTGATGACAGATGCTATCCAATCACATGAGCCAGAGGTCTCCAACCTTTTTCGGCCTTTAGGAACATTTGGATTTTTGAGTGAGTGGCATGGACCTCAGCCCCTCTGGCCATTTCTTTCCCCACTTCCCTGAATCAGCTGCCTCCTAGGAGGCAGAGGGAGAGAAAGCACACACACACACACACACACACATTTCCTCAGGGAATGGGGCAAAAGTTGAGTCCAGCATAATTAATCTGTGCCTTGAAAAGTACATAGAGCTAAAAACAGGAAGTGGGAAGAGTGCCACTCTTCCCACTTCCTCCTTCAGCTCTATGTACTTTCATACCCTCCAACATTTCTGCGATGAAAACAGGGACATCCCATTCCATAATGATAATTTTACTATTTATATCTCACACATCTCACTGGGTTGCCTCAGCCACTCTGAGCAGCTTCCAACATACATAAAAACATAATAAAACATTAAATACTTTTTAAAAAGCCTTCCCTATACAGGATTGACTTCAGATGGCTCGGGGGATGGATACCCTCCAACATTTCTCCAATGAAAATAGGGACATCCTGTGACATTCTGAGACCAAATAGGGACATCCTGTGACATTCTGAGACCAAATCAGAAAATGGGATGGCATCTCTAAATCAAGGACGTCCCTGGAAAACAGGGACGCTTGGGAGGGTCTGTACTTTTCAAGGGAGAAAAACGTTTTCAGCAGTTTTCAATTCACTCAATAAATTTGTCATTTCACAAACCAAGCATGCACTACGGAGGTGCCAGCAATCATTTCCTAAAACTATCAGACAATATCTATAAGTTTAGCAGGTACCGTATTTTTCGCCGTATAGGACGCACTTTTTCCCCCTCCAAAAATGAAGGGAAAATCTGTGTGCGTCCTATGGGGCGAATACAGGCTTTTGCTGAAGCTTGGAGAGCGAGAGGGGTCCGTGCGCACCGACCCTTCTTGCTCTCCAGGCTTCAGGAAGCTATCAGCAAGCCTGGGGAGCCTGCGGGAGTTCCCGCAGGGCTCCCTAGGCTGTAGATAGCAGCCTGCCGCCCGGCGCGCGGGCGCCCTGAAGCAGAGCACCCCACGCGCCGAGCAGACATCCGCAGCCTGGGGAGCCCTGTGGGAGTTCCCGCAGGGCTCCCCACGCTGCAGATATTAGCCTGCCGCCCAGCGCGCGGGGCGCCCTGAAGCAGACCACCCCTCGCGCCGGGCAGACATCCGCAGCATGGGGAGTTCCCGCAGGGCTCCCCACGCTGCAGATAGCAGCCTGCTGCACGGAGCGCGGGCTGCGCTGAAGCTGAGCGCCCCGCGCTTCGGGCAGACATCGTCCAGCCCCACAAGCTCGGGGGACAGCGGGGAGGCGCAGCGCCGCCATCCCGCTGATCCCCGACCTGGTTTTGGGGGGGAAATGAAGGGAAATTTTTTTCCCTTTATTTCCCCCCCAAAAAAACTAGGTGCGTCCTATGGGACGAAAAATACGGTAGGTGCCTTTATTAGGAATGCCTTTTGTAAACAGCAGCAACACCAGGTATTTGAAGAGCGCTCAGCAGCTGATCTCAAAGCACTACATTACCAGGAACTGCTTTTTCCTTTCTCAAGTTTTTCCTTTGGCGTAGTATCATAGCAAGCTGCACAACTCAGCCTTTCAGAGAATCCTTTTTGAATTCCATCCTTATGCCCTGTAGCCTCCTCACATTCCTGTAAGGCAGTTTAATATTCATTTAATCATGCCAGAACACCACATGCGGCACTCTGCAATGGCTGTACAGACGCTAATTAAGCCGAGCTGTGCAAACAATCAAGCAATTTAAAATCAAAACAAATCCCCCTGTTTCATCCAAACAATTGATGGGGGCAAAATCAATGAAAACACTCTCGGCGCATGCAGAGTGCAGAAATCATCCCATGATATATTGATGCAATTACTATAATAAATGTCACATTTACAATCGCAAGTGGTCAGGAACCTCAAGCGGGGGAAAAGAGTAATTTGCTGGGTAAGTGGAAGTGTGTTTGGTATGTTCACATAACACTTTCTTCCCTTAAAAGTAATAGCATGGCAAATTTGAGTTTGGAACATCAGCTTTTAACTTTGGGAATCACTTGGGAGCCAAGCTTTTAATTACAGTGTTAACCTCTCTCCAAGAGGTGAGAGGTTTCGGTGATCTTACCCAGGCTCAATTTCCTTTAGAAGATAGCCAGTGAAAGTTTATTGGCATTTTTAAATATTGGTGTTTATTTAGAAATATACAGGTTGAGTATAGATGAAGACCCAGCATTGAAGACTGGCAGCCAGCCCAAAGTTTGGTGCTTTCACATCTGATATCTAGGAGGGCAGCCAGTACACTGAGACTCTTGATGAGCCAGCTCATCTCTCTGGCCCCCACCTGCCTGCCTTTCTCAATCCCATAAAAATGCTTTTGGTTGGATCCAGAGTTCCTGGGGCTAGAACCCTGCTCAGGAGATGCTCCTACAGGGGGTAGGCCATAGCTCGGTGGTAGAGCATCAATCCCTGGTATGAATCCCAAGTGGGGCAGGAAGAGACCTCTGCAATTCTAGGGAGCCACTGCCTGTCTGTGCAGATGTATCAATGGTCTTACTCCCATCCTTTTCCATTACTGAGTGACCCTGTTGGACCAAAAGACCTTCTATGAATGCAAGGGCATCAGCAGGATTCTATCCAATATGTTTATCTGTGATGTGGTAGCTTGGACGTCAGTGACTCTGTATTGTGCATTTTTAACATTTCTATTCCCGTAGCAGGCATGTCCAACAGGTAGATCAGTAGATCACTGGACGTCTGGTAGATCACTGGTAGATCACTAGCTCCCCCCAAAGAAGCTCAACGTTTTCACCCTTCACCCTCCTACCTCTTCCCTAAAAAAAGTTCAACAACTTTGACCTGAACCACAAAAAGGGGGGTGGATCACTGCCAGTCTTTGTGAGTAGAATCACAGTCCCTTGGGAGTTGGCCACCCTTGCCGTAGAGCATGAAACTCTAGATCTCAAGGTCATGGGTTCGAGCCCCAGTTTGGGCAAAAGATTCCTGCATTGCAGGGGATTGGACTTGATGATCCCTGTGGTCCCTTCCAACACTACAATTCGATCATTCTATGTGCCCTTTGCAGACTTTCATTCACACATTCGACAAATGCACCTGGGGGGGTTATTGCAGCTTCAGGCTCCCCTCGCAACCTATGTGTTCACGGAATGAGCATCACCCTAATGAACATCTCAAAATAGCTGTGATTGTCATTCAGGGAGTAGCTATCCGTGAGGGGGCAGGATCAGACAAAATGAGATTTCAAGAAGTAATGTCTAAAATAACATTTTATTTTGACTACTCCCACTAAGGTTGGGATCCCCAAAGTTGTAGCTGGGCTGCCATGGCACCCCAGATAACCCCCTGGTACCAGTTGAGACCCCTTGCACCTTCTTAATATTTTTGAGGAGTGGCGGCTCTATTTTATTTTATTTTACCTTGGTCAGTTTCTGGCTGGATGAAAAGAGAAGGGCAGGTCTCCAACCCATCCCACCCATGCCTTTGGCCTGCATATAAGCCCAGAGACAGGAGAAGAAAATACCAGGGAGGGACAGTTTGAGGCATGGACTTTTGTCTTGCCCCTTCTTCAGAAAATAAATAAATAAATGGGGCCATTTTACTGCTACATTTTGGGGAAATTATGGGAGTGACCTGAGAGGAGTGATTTGGTGTGTGCTTATGTTTGTTTGGGGGGTGTTCTGTATGCATTTTTTAGACTGCCTGTCTCTCTTTTTGCTTCCCCACCCCCACCCCCCAGGTGTCTGTCTTTTCAGGGGGTGACTGCTCTTTGTGGTGTTTTTTATGGTGGGTAGCCTGACGTTTTTGTTTTACGGAGGTATATTGCCTATAGTGTTGTTGTTGCTGCATGTGTTTATGAGCATCCACTTCCACTGCTGGGCATTTTCTGGTGCCCTCCAACATTCGGATTTCTAGATGTGCTCCAAGGGCCCAAAAGGTTGGGGACACCTGCAACATTGAAGGTGGCTTTTGCAGTAATTGCACAGAGAAGGCTCTGTTTGCCATCACTTAAGGAGTGTGTAACGTTTGCGTACTCCAAATCGGGATATACAATTTACTTTACCTTAAATATAGCGTTTTCACAGAAACCCTGCATTCTCTAGAAACTCTATCCATCTAAATTGCTGTATTTAGTGTGGCTAAATAAGTCCAGGCCAAATTTAGTGCCTGTCCACAAACAGTCCCTGCCAGCAGAATTGTAAAGGGTCATTTTGGAAGGTAGTAATGACTAGTGGCACTTGTGCCATTTTATCTGGGAAACTACCGGTAAATAAATTTTAGAAAACACCTGAGAAACATTGAAGCTTTAGATGTGTCACGAAAGTTGACTTTGGATTCATGCGGGACCTTTCCTTTCAGCAAGACTTACAACCTAGAGCATCCGTAGCAGGAAAACGATCCTGTCAACTTCTGTGAGACCTCTGAGCAAACCTCTTTCAGATTTGGCTGTAAGACTCTACGGTTGCTTACTTGGTACTATTGCTATTATTACATTTATAGCCGACCTTTCCTCCAAGGAGCTCAAGTTGGTTCTCCCCAGAACATCCCATTTCCCCCCACGAGAGCATGGTGGCTATTTGAGGCCTTTTTCAGGGCCGCAATCTCACACAGGACCTCAAAATGCATGTTTTTGGGTGCCATAAGAACACGCCCCACCCCAATCATGTCTTTGAGGCTCTGTGATCTTGTGCAGATCATGTGACTTACATGAGAGCACCGACAGGAAGAAATGTGTCCTGCTTTTGGGACTCAACATGTTGGAGGGTCTGGTATTTCAAACAATGTTTATTCAGGTTGTGTTTGTGCTTGTACATACAGTCGTACCTTGGTTTTCAAACAGCTTAGTTCTCAAATGTTTTGGCTCTCTACACTCATCTCCTTATAATGTTGCCCCAAAAAACCCTCCACATGCCCATATCAGTGTCAGAAAAGAAGCTTTGCATATACAGTGGTACCTCAGGTTAAGAACTTAATTCATTCCGGAAGTCTGTTCTTAACCTGAAACTGTTCTTAACCTGAAGCACCACTTTAGCTAATGGGGCCTCCCACTGCCGCCACTGCTCGATTTCTGTTCTCATCCTGGAGCAAAGTTTTTAACCCGAGGTACTATTTCTGGGTTAGTGGAGTCTGTAACGTGAAGTGTATGTAACCTGAAGCTTATGTAACCCGAGGTACCACTGTATACTTTTATGAGCATTGACTGTTCTGGTGTTCAGATGAACACATGTAGGTTGTGAGCATGGCTTGCCACTGCAATTCCACATTCCAGCCCCGTGTGCAGTCATTCCTTGTGGATGTAAAGGTCTAAAAGGGGCTCAAGACACTTTTACAAAAGGATAGTACACTTACAAGGAGGTGTGATTTCACAAAGGTTTGGAAACATGGGCTTCCTTAATGCTCCAGTGAGATTAAATGGCATTAATGGACATTAAGTGAGAGCTGGACCATAAAGAAGGCTGATTGCCGAAGAATTGATGGTTTTGAATTATGGTGCTGGAGGAGACTCTTGAGAGTCCCATGGACTGCAAGAAGATCAAACCTATCCTTTCTTAAGGAAATCAGCCCTGAGTCCTCACTGGAAGGACAGATCGTGACGCTGAGGCTACAATACTTTGGCCACCTCATGAGAAGAGAAGACTCCCTGGAAAAGACCCTAATGTTGGGAAAGATGGAGGGCACAAGGAGAAGGGGACGACAGAGGATGAGATGGTTGGACAGTGTTCTCGAAGCTACCACCATTACTTTGACCAAACTGTGGGAGGCAGTGGAAGACAGGAGTGCCTGGCGTGCTCTGGTCCATGGGGTCACGAAGAGTCGGACACGACTAAACGACTAAACAACAACAATAAGGAGCTCAAGAAGCTACAAGGCCAGGTAGAGGTAAAATGAAGAGGCTACAAAACACCGACTAAACAACAACAACAATGGACATTGGTTCCATTTTGCTTGAAACAAAATTGCTGCTGATCCTTTCGGAAAGCAAATGCAATTCACAAGGAAGCTATAACAAGAAAAGTGCCATCTAGCATTATTGTTGAGAACTAGGCAGGTTGGGGGAGGGTGCTGGGGATGGGGGGCAATAGGCGGTAAGGACACACAAACCAATAACTCAGCTTAATGGTATTTGTAAAACCTGGGCCAAACAGCAAACATTGCTTTTGACAGCCTGTTGGTTCTGTATTGTTCCAAAGCCTGGTACCTTGGTTACGAAATATCTCCAATTCTCCCCCCCGCCCCCCAATGATCAGAAAGGCTTATTGTAGCATGTTGGATGCGGAGAAAGAGAAAGAATGAGGAGAGGGGTACTTAGTAAGTTCTGTGGAAAGAAAATGGCTCCACGGCAGCTTTATTCATTCAGACAAATGCTTACAGGTCCCCTGCCAAAATGGATTCCCGAGACTACAAGAGAAACAACTAAGGCACATTGGTTTCTGTTATCTCTGTTTGGACATTTGTCTGTCTTCACTAGATCTTTGAAAGCTTGTTTACAAGGAAGACAGGTTGCCCCAAAGCAGAAGGGATGAATCTGTTGACGGATAGGATGCAGTCTGGGGTTTTTTTCTTTCCTTTTTTTAATTGGAAGCTGACGTTCGCTGGAATGAGCCTGTAAGGTTTGCTGTGGAACAATACGACCTACCACCAGCGGCTTATATTTCAGCAGGGTTAAAGCAAGGGGTCTTTGAAACTTGGAGTGGCGTGGAATTCTTCATTTTAATGCAGAGTTTGCATCTGATTAAATACATTTTTTAATTCTTATTTTTAAAGGTCCCTTGTCCTAGCAAACTGAATTCTGATACGCTTTTGGGAGGGGGTTGTTTTTGTTTTATTCCCTTTGCAAAAGAATGCTTTTCAAATGCAATCATACAGAATATGTCTACTGAGACCAATGAATATTAGTCACAGTTAAGACAGCAACCATTGCAAATTCTATAGGAAATGAACGCTATTTTGTCATGGCAGCTTTTTATTTTTTTTATGCTAGTCTAGATAAATAAATAAATAAATAAAACCCCAATTTCCTCTGTCTTTATTTAAAACTTCAACCAGATACAAAACTCAGAAAAGAATATATATAATGCCTACATTTATGCTCAGTATAAAGGTAAAGAGACCCCTGACCGTTAGGTCCAGTCGCGGACGACTCTGGGGTTGCGGTGCTCATCTCGCTTTACTGGCCAAGGGAGCCGGCGTACAGCTTCTGGGTCATGCGGCCAGCATGACTAAGCCACTTCTGGCGAACCGGAGCAGCGCACGGAAACGCCGTTTACCTTCCCGCCAGAGCAGTACCTATTTATCTACTTGCACTTTGACATGTTTTCAAACTGCTAGGTTGGCAGGAGCAGGGACCGAGCAACGTCATGGGGATTCGAACCACCGACCCTCTGATCGGCAAGTCCTAGGCTCTGTGGTTTAACCCACAGCACCACCCAAAAAAAAGTACAAGTAGATAAATAGGTACTGCTCTGGCGTGAAGGTAAACGGCTATTCGGTGCCCTGCTCTGGTTTCGGTGTTCCGTTGCGCCAGAAGCGGCTTAGTCATGCTGACCACATAACCCGGAAAAACTGTCTGTGGACAAACGCCGGCTCCCTTGGCCTGTAAAGTGAGATGAGCGCTGCAACCCCAGAGTCGTATCTGACTGGACTTAACTGTCAGGGGTCCTTTACCTTTTTAAAAAATAAATTCCATAACTATTTCCTAACTAGCCCAAAACAATATTGGGTTGTATTCCTTTAAGTTTTATTGAGAGTGGACCCGCTGAAATGAATGAACTTAAGTTGCCATGGGCAATAAGTTCAAAGGGTCTACTCTGAGTATGACGAAGATTGGCTGCAACCCATTATTCGTGTCATTTGCAGTTGTGTGATTTGTAAAGCTGTCACCAGATTAAAAGAAATAGTTGATTAACTATATGAGCGTCAGTCAATGAGCCAATAAATTTTGCATAAATTCACATATGAGTTAAAATATTATTCTTATTATTTATTGAATTTATATACCATCTCACAGAATAGTAGCCCCAAAGCAAGAAACACCATACTTTAGATTTTATAAAGAAATTAAATATAATCTCAGATCTTTCCACTCTGTTCCATCTCTCTCTGTTGGGACCCACAGCCTGGAACATGACTCCTTTTTCTCTCTCAGGTCCCAATGTCCATGTCTTCACTGTCCTTCCTCTGCCTCCCACTTTCATTCCACTCTGCTCACCTTCCAGACACACCTACTGCCACTCCCATTCCTCACACAGGGTTCTGACTGACTGTTGTCAGTTCAACAGTGTGTGAACACACATGGTCAAACACTCATGGCCTCCTCTTCTCACATGCTTGACATCAAAGAAGGCTTCCCATGATTTGATCCCGGTTTGTAATCCTGGTTTGTATGGAGCTGAAGTCGGTTTGTCAAAACGTTTCAAAGTCAGGGCAAAACTGTACTTTATTAACAAACCAGGAAGTTTATTGGGCACATGAGAAAAGGAGGGAAGGAGATGAAGAGGAGAGGATGTTTGAATTTATTGCTCATTCCCACTTCCACACTCACTCAGGGTTCCTGTTCACTTGGATCAGGCCACACTAAGCGTGTGGCAAGGCAGCATGGCTTGCGGACGCATTCCCATTGCCTTCACACATTCACTGAATGCTTATAAGAGGGTCATCTGTACATGGGTTCATCCTTTTAGCTAAGAGCTTGCAGGTACGCCTAGCCTAGCTTCTTTGCGTTCCATTGTTCTGTGAGTCCAAATCATTTTTGGATTTTATTTTATTTTTAATCACAGAAAACGAGGGGAATTATTAACTCTGCCTTGCATTTCACACGATAAAATGGTGATGCGCCCAAATATGGCAGGCCTTAAACAATAGTTTTCATACCTCCCTTTGCGTTCTTAGCTATTTCATAAGGCAAATGTTGACAAATAGGCAACTAAGGCCATAGCGAGGGGGCTGCCAACCAAACGGGCCCTGACATAAGTAAGAACAAATGGTGTATTATTTTCCAAACGGCTTATACCAGGACAATAAAAATTGTTGCATATGATTCTCATATTTGCTGCTTGCTGTTAGGTTATGCAATTCCCCCCTCCTCTTTTCTGACCATAGAGACGCCCAGAGCTGCTTTACACCGAACCAATCCATTGGTCCATCTGCCTTCTTATTGTCTACATCAAGGATGGAGAAATATTTTTAGCCCAAGGACAAAATTTCCGCATGAATGACTTTCCAGGGCCCACACACCAGTGGTGGGCTGGACCAGATGCAAAAAGGACAATTGGAAACAATATGCAGGTCCTAAACAAGTATTGAGGAGTCTTAGTGGTTGTTCTGCTCTTCACACAGCTGGAGAGAAAGGTTAACTTCTCCAGGAATTTCCAATCTGTACTTGGTTTTTTTTTAATATTTTCATGCACCCAACTGGTGTCCTCCAGATGTGGCTGGCCTTCCAGTTCGCCTCCAGCCCTGGCAAGCATGCCCAATTGTCAGAAATCTGCTCCAGAAGGTTGAGGGACCCTCCAGATCACATCTGGAGGGGATAGTATAAGAGGAGAGGAACATGGACCAATGGAGCCCCGCTTTCTGCAACATTGGATGCAACCTTATAAAAGGCAAGCATGCTGATAAATTGTTTCTGGTTCATCACAAGGGTGCCTCAATATGTTTTGCAGCTCTCACCGCACGGTACTATAATCTTTGGATCAGGCCCCAAGGAGGAAGCTTGACACAGAAGGATCAGTGTACATTCTCAGATTACTGACTGAATGGGGTCACAGTATGCATGGGTACTTAGCAAAGAAGCCACAGCATTTTCCACTGGCTGCGACTTCCAAACAGAACACAACTTGCACACTGTGCCGCGGACTCTGGAGCAAAACACTCCTGTGACCACTTTAAATGCAGAGGTGTCTTTTTGCGTGAGGAAAAGGGAAAGTGTGGGCACAAACTACTCTGGACTTCAAAGAGTCAGCTTTGACTGAAGCAGAGGCGGCAAGGCCCGGCGGTTAGGTCCCTGACTGCATATCAACAACAGTACCATAAATCACATTTACTTCCAAACCTAATACCTAGCATTTAGAGTCAAGAGACGTTTAGAGAGCTGCCTTCAAGACATTGCATAATTTATTGTTCCCTGATTTATTCTCCATATGACAAGTAAAAAAGTTGAAGTACTGTCGGTAGCTATTTTGATTTCTCTTCAGATCCATTTGACATCTGTTATCCAAGTAATGTTATCTTGGTGGATAACAAGATTTGCTCCGATTTCTTGCATCGTTCCCTCCCCCTTTATTTTTTAGGGAATGACAATTAAATAGAATTAAATTGCAGCGTTCTGCTGTACATTTAAATGTAAACAGGGCAGGACTGCAGTATAAAGATGTATTACTGATGAGGTACACAAAGCTCTGTAACAGAAACTAGTTTTGATCTACTGTTTATAGTAGAGCAGTGAGATGTCTACCAAATGAGGACAACGTCTGAAATGTGTTTGCCATTTACAGCTTGAACTTTCAAACATGCGAAGAGGAGGGAGAGAATTGGCCCCTTTGCTGCTGATGACACAGTCATTCCTAATTTTATGGTGAGAATGCCTTTTCCTTGCTATTGTTCATAAGGTGAGCAAAACCAATTCAGAACATTTTCTGAATTCCAGGTGGCACCCTCTACCTCCATTCCACATGCTAAAGCCAACCAGACTCACCGTTGACTCTTACTTCATCACTGCATACCCCCCAATATTCCTCAGATGAAAACAGGGCCATTCTATTCTACATCAGTATCACTGCTGGGGGGTGAGGGCTTTTTAAAAAAATATATTTTAAGATATTTATTAAAGTGTTTATGATACGACCAAGTCCCCTTGCCGAAGTCCAGCTAGCTCCAGCACCCAACCTTGACCCCCATAACCTCCTTGCCCCACCACCCTTCAAACTCCAGTCCTCCACAGACCTGTCTGCACCCTGCCAGCTACACCCTTCCCCACCCCCCCACCCCAGGGTCTGCTTCTCCAGCCGCCACCTTCTCCTGAAGCCTGACTTGGCTTATTTTCTCCTCCTTGTTCTTATTTAGCACAACCAACTGGCTGGGGGCCTGCCAGGCTGGAGAGTCGCAGCCTCCCAAGGTGGGGATGGTAACCCTGTTGCCTAATTCCCTCTTCCTTCTCCTCCTCTTCCTACTACTCCTCCTGCTGCTATGCCCATAGCTGTCAACTTTTCCCTTTTCTTGCGAGGAATCCTATTCGGAATAAGGGAATTTCCCTTAAAAAAAGGGAAATGTAGACAGCTATGGCTATGCCACCGGCCGGCCAGCCCATCAGCCTGCCTGCCTGGCTCCCTCTCTCAGACCCAGCCCAAGACTCTTCCCTCAGTCAGCAATTATCTCTTCTCCCTGCTTCTACCAGTGTGCAGCCATTTCCGGTTACCATACCTTAACAAAGATGGGAATTCAAGACTCTGCATGAGAAGCCATGATGGCTTAAGGGTTTCCGTGATGTTCCCAGCATTTTCAGGGCAGTTGAAGACTATGTCACTGCACTAGGGGACACAGTGCAGGCTATATTAGAGCTTTTGGGGGAAAAGTTGTTGAGAGATGTTTTTTGAGTTATTTTAAAGGAAATTCACCAAAACCTGCACTTAGAGCAATTTCGGCCCAGACACTGTTTCTGACAGCCGAATCCCAGAAATTTCCAGACATATGGCAACCATAGGCGATATGGCACTCTTCTCTGTCTTACAACTCCTCCCCACTGCAGCCATCTCTGTCTAATGGTAGGGCCAGCCCTTGAGGTAAGACATGGGGGAGGGGGAGGCTTCTCTCAAGGTGAGAGGTCCTCCCAAATGTTTACTACATTCCCCTTCTTAACAGGTTGTTTTCTTGCCTGCACTGATGAAGGGATCCCGGATCCAAGATAGGACAGAGCCATGCTTCAGCTAGAAGATGCCTGTAACCTTGTTACAGTAATTCTGATCGGAGAAACTCTGTGGGTAGCCTTATTTTCAATTGATTGTCAAACCTCTTTTAAAAATCTATCCTGTTCTTGCACTGGCAGTATTCTTACAGATGCATGGCTAGATACAGTTAGCAACAGACTTATTTCAGTACAATAATCAGTGACTAAGAACTTGACTGGTTGTTTGCAGTTTTACAACCTTCCACAGTTTTATATTGGGCCAACTTGGAGATACAATCTTTTCCCATTTGGCTTTATTTCACTTTCCAAGCATTAAAAACTGCTTTTCTGCACTCCACAAAGTTTCTCTTTTGCCAAGTCATGCTGCACTATTCAGCTTTTTAAAAACAGCATTTTACCCTTTAAAAATAAGGGTGCCATCAAAAAACACCACTATGGTACCCCAGTTGTGGAGTTTCTTCCCAGTAGAGATACAATTGTGCCCTCATGGGATTATTATTATTATTATTATTATTATTTCTTCTTCAGGCCTTTGGAGATTACTGAGCTGGCTGCTGGTTGTTCCCTGTTGAACTACTTACTGCTCTTTACTGCTTAACCGATGGTTTCGTGATTATATGCCGTATTTTATTTTAAATTCTGGAGGTCTTGGAGTTGAAGAATGTTTTTAAAATGCAATGTATTAAATAAATAAAACTTAAGGCGTCCAGGGTCCATCTATGGCCCTCTCTCCTCGCTCTCAGTGTTCAGAACACTGGAACCAAAAGGATTTGGTCCCTGTGCAATGTCTATTTTTACTGGAATTGTTGTGAAAAAGCAGTTAATCATATTTGACATATGGGTGGTTTTTTTCTTCACATCTCAGAGAAATTCTGTTCAGAGACAAATGGGGGGATTGTTGGCTGCCTTTTAGTATCACTCAAAAGAAATCCAAGTGCAAAGGTGTGATTCATAATCAGTGAGAAGGCACCATGAGGTATGGAGGGGAAATACTTTTTTTAAAAGTTTGAGGAGAAAGACTTGACAGAAGAACAAAAGGTCCCTCAGACACTACACAGAAGAAAAGGGTGGAAAGAAAAAGGTCACAGACATGAGCCAAAGTTAGGCGGACAAGCAGGTTCAGGAAGATACTCAGATGAGGGAAAATAGGCTTCAGTTTCATAATACTGAAAGCCTCGAGGAATAGCAAAGATTAGGGTCTCTCCCTTTTTCTTTTTCTGGTTAAGATTTTATCACCTTTGAAACGCGCTGGGAACCAGAGTAGGTGTTTCCCCAATTGCTCTTCAACTTGAAAATAGCAAGTCAGAACCAGACAAAAGCATGGGTTTCAAATGCCTGGCAAGGCCCTCAGAAATTATCCTGTTTTAAAGAAACATAACACAAATGTTCTTGACGATAACCAAGAGTAGATTTTCTAGGGAAATGACCAACTGGTGTTTACAATACCACACTGTGTTCCTATAGCTTCAGCAAATGCACAATAGATTTTATTTCAAGCATGTCTGAAAGGCTCATGTTTTAGGAAGCCCTGTTTTGCTAACGTAATGATGATGAGGAGATTATTTACAGTGGGGTATAAATAAAAATAAAATATTAAGCTGATTCAATGAATGTGCGTGCTTCTATCTTTCACAACTACAGCTCTGTATTTGCAGTGGGAGAAGGTAGGGAAAATATTTACATATGTTTTCCATTAGAGGTCTTCAGAACTAGGTCTACTGTTTTTAAAAAAACTTCAGCATAGTGATTGGCAGAGTGTTTGCTTGATGGAAAAAACAATAAGGCATTTTCCGTTGTTATATGAATTAATAGATGGAAGGGAATGAGATTGTGTACTTTCAGTATAATCTACAATGTCACTGGGTATACAACTGCATGAAGAATCCTCTTCACACAAATTGGAACCCTCAAACTTCAGGAATTGTTGAAGGGATACATGATCCTGCCTCCCACTGCATTCAGTTCAGATAATTTACAAACAGAGCTCTTCCCCACCTCGAGAACACTGAGGTGTCAGGATGAAATTGTTGTGCATGTTCAGGGCGCAGATGTGTGCTGCAAGTTCAGTCATGGTGCACCACTCCTGAACCGTCTTCCCATGGAACCACCAATGTGTTTTCAAGCCTTAGGAGTGAGGTTATTTCCCCCTGCCTTGAATGTCAAGATGCCCTTAGAACAGGCATAGGCAAACTCAGCCCTCCAGATGTTTTAGGACTACAACTCCCATCATCCCTGGCCACTGGTCCCTGTTAGCTAGGGGTGATGGGAGTTGTAGTTCCAAAACATCTGGAGGGCCGAGTTTGCCTATGCCTGTCTTATAAACTCCAGAAACTCTTGGCACTACCGACAAGGAGGGAGAGAGAAAGAGAGCAACAGCTTGCATATAATATTTTTAATGTATAGATGTTATTTTTGGAAACAAATGTCATTACGAATAACTCTCTCCAAAATGGGGAATATCCAACCAGAGATTGGTGTGTCTGCTGCTCAGATGCTAACTTTGGATAGGGAACTTCAGGGCCTGAGATGTCACTTTTTATAATATAATAATAATTTTTTGTGGTTCTTTCTCTTTAAACCAGACTTGGGCCAGTCTCAGTTTCAGACAGAGGACTGTCCTCCAAGACTGCCCTTCATACAAAGGATTCCTTCAAGTACAGTAGAAGACTGTTTTCTGTAAAGTAAGGCATGTGACTGACCATATTTCCATTCTTTATGGATAAAATTTTTCTCTGTGTCCCTTGTAAGAGCAAATATGTAGAAGACCAGAAAGAGTGGCCACTTGCACAGATAGAGCCCCATTTAATTAAGCCCGTGCAAGTGACCACTGAATCACCTCGCTGGGATTTTTGAGCATGGGAGAACATCGTGCAGTTGATGGAGCAGCAGCGATAATAGAACTCCGAACAACAATGTGATCCATTTGCCTAAGCCCTGGGAGAGAGGAAGGAAGCCAATTTATTATAGCCACTTGCTTTATACTGTGTCAGTTCATGTGAATGTTTCATTTGCTTTTTCACATGAACTGCCACAGCATGGGTTAAATAGAGAGCTCCGTAGCCATGGTGTTAAGGATTCTCATTAGCATCATTTTGGGAGTCATTAGGGCAAAACAAATCCCTGTGAATAAAGTGCAGTTACACCAAAGATCCTTTTGGTCTATTGTCTGCACCGAGCTCTCTTGTTCCTGTCGCTTCTGCTTGGAGTATTTTAAGTCAAGCTTTTTTTAAAGCTGCAAATGAAATTTACCATAGCACTCTCCAAACTCAGCAGGAGAACACTGTGCACACATAGATGTGTTGCTAGTCAATGGGCTTCATCCAGGTACTCTCAAGCACAGCTGGATGTGGACTTTATATCCCTATTCAGCATTCTTGGGTGCATGCAGGGTCTCATCCAGAAGGAGAATCTACCATGGCAGCTTGAGCCTGTTTGCAGGTGGGCCTTGCTGGATAAGTGAGATGATGATGGTGATGATGATGATGATGATGATATAATATCACCCTTCATCTGCAGATCTCAGGACGGTTCACAACGTAAAATTATGAAAGCAAGAACTCAAAGCCTTTGTTGTTCCTTATTCTCTTACAGTCACATTTTAGATAAGCTTGGATCCAGGGTTAGTCAAACTCATGAAATTAAGTTAAAATGCAGTTCTACGGCTCAGTACCTGAGACTAAACCTCAATGAGAAATTCTGAGCAAACTTGCATAGGACAGCACTGTTAGTCATCTAACTTTATGGCTAAAAAGTCGCATTGAAATAAACTGCAATGAAACATACAATATGGATAGCTCAGTTGGTGAGAGCATGGTGCTGAAAAAACTGAGGTTGCAGGTTCAGTCCCTGTATGATGTTCCTGCATATTCCTGCATTGCAGGGGGTTGGACAAGGTGATCCTCAGGTCCCTTCAAACTCTACAATTCTAGGGAATGTATAGCCCTCCAAATGTTCCTAGACTCAAAATCCTATCACCCCTTCAATAGCATAGCCCATGGTCAGGGATGATGGGAGATGGAGTTCATCAGCATATACTAGACCACCCAACAATACTGTAATGGCAATATTAGATAGTAAAAAAGGTAAAGGTAAAGGACCCCTGACAGTTAAGACTCTGGGGTTACGGCACTCATCTTGCTTTACTGGCCAAGGGAGCCGACGTTTGTCTGCAGACAGTTTTTCTGGGTCATGTGGCCAGAGCAGCGCACGGAAACACCGCTCCTTCTTCTTTGGTGATTACTTGTAGCCGAGTAAGATTGTCTTCCATAAACACAGTTTTAACAATGAGTCCCTATTTATCTACTTGCACTTTGACGTGCTTTCAAACTGCTAGGTTGGCAGGAGCTGGGACCCAGCAACGGGAGCTCACCCCATCACGGGGATTCGAACCGCCGACCTTCCGATCGGCAAGCCCTAGGTTCAGTGGTTTAGACCAAAGCGCCACCCACGTCCCATTTTTTAAAAATAGTAAGTCATGGCTTATTTTTCCAAACACCCTAAAATCTACACTAGATTTTAGCAGCAAGCAAATATAAATGTCAGGGCAACAGGTAAGAAGCCTCTCTAGAAGACATATTTTAAGTATTTTAGTCCCAAGTTTGCTGTGCTGACTCTGGCTGGGAAGGAGATATATAAAGAGAAGCAGGTTTTTGGCATCAAAAGCGTCATGCTGGACATCTCCCCCACCTCCACAGAGCACCCTTTTGCTCATGCAGGACCACATGCAAATGAGCCATCCCATGTGCAGAGGCTGGTTTGTTCCCATGAACTAATCCTCACTGCTGCACAGGGACACCGGCGTTTTTCGCAGAATAACAGCCTACAGTTACATAAACAGCCGCTGGAATTTATGCACTGCTGCTTCTTTGATGTGCAAAAGGTGTTCTGCTGCCAAGCGACACCAAAAGCCATGCAAGTCTGACCAAAACGGATTCTGAGTTTGCTGCTGGCAACCAAGATACCCATCAAACATGCAATCACTTCTGTGGGATTGTTAGTTAAATCCCAAAGCTAATTGCCACATGTGAGGGGGTGAGAGAATATTGTTTTTTTTCCCTCTGAGCTGCCTCAGAAACAGGAAAGCTTCACCCAAGAATATGGTTGAAAAGGAAAAAGAGAAGGCAAGGGTGGAGGAGGAATGTATGAACTTGTACTCTGTATTCGACTCTTGTCAGCTTTGTCATCCTGACGGCGTAACACAATATTCCATGAAAGTGGTCCATTTCCACTTGCTCTGGTACTTGCATGCTTATTTTGTTTAGTTCTAGTGACTATAGAGGAGGAAAATGAAGCAAAGCACACACACAATTACACAGCAACAGGAAACTCCATATACAATCAGGACTTCCCTCTCCAAAGAATAATGGGAACTGCAGTTTATTAAGTGTGCTAAGAGTTATTGGAAGACCCTGATTGCCCACACAGACAGTTCCTCTTCCCAGGGAATTCAGTGAATTGTAGCTCTGTGAGGGGAACAGCTCTCAACATCCTTAATAAACTATAGTTCCCAGAGTACTTTGGGGGAAGCCATGACTGTTTAAAGTGGCATGACACTGCTTTGAAGACAGGATTCAACAAACAAGTCCCATCACCAGAAGCTCTGTGCAGGGACCTCTGCTTCTGCAATGGGCTTTCCATCCTCTTCCTCCTGTCTGTCCCCTACACCCCCCCCAAAACTGGCTTAGAGGGGCTGGGAGAAGTACTGGAACAGGGCACAGGGGGATGGGACAGATTATCATTCGGTCTGTCAAGCCAAAATGCTTGCCATGATGGAATGATTGCCTTAGCACAATGTGGAATCCCTCCTTTTATGTATAGTGCAGATGGAGCTCAAGTCCCATGCCACCTAATGACTAAACCATATACTAGTCATACAAAACCCAACACAAAAAGTGCCCGGGATAGAATGTCCTTCAAAGCAGATGCCAATAATTATTATTTTTATTAGTAGTCATAGTAGTAGTAGTAGTAGTAGTAGTCACAGAAATTTTCCTTTCTCAAAAAGAGCCCAACAGACACTGAGGTCCAGCTCCGAGGGCCTTCTAGCGGATCCCTCACTGCGAGAAGTGAGGTTGCAGGGAACCAGGCAGAAGGCCTTCTCGGTAGTGGTGCCCGCTCTGTGGAACGCCCTCCCATCAGATGTTAAGGAAATAAAAAACTATCTGACTTTTAGAAGACATCTGAAGACAGCCCTATTTAGGGAAGTTTTTAATTTTTGATGTTTTGTTGTTGTTGTTGTTGTTGTTGTTGTTGTTGTTGTTAATTCTGCTGGGAGCCACCCAGAGTGGCTGGGGAAACCCAGTCAGATGGGCAGGGTATAAATAATATATTATTATTATTATTATTATTATTATTATTATTATTATTAGGTTATATGAACAAAATACCCTTACATACTAGGGGGGAAATGGTAACAGATCAATGAAAATACATTGCTGGTGAGGAATATGAGGTTGAGACAGAAAAATCTGCCTATGTCCCCTTTCTGAATCCTAAGAGAGAGTATTCAGCTTAGCACAGGCCTTCACATTTTTCATCACCAGCAAACTTTAATTGCAACAACAGTCTGGCTGCATTATCACCTCAGGATGTTGGAACAGTACGGGAAGCCGGCCTGGCCAGGCCAAACAGCAGGGAGATGTGACCTGTTTCATTCAGGGTTGATCCTACCATTAGACAAACTGAAGCAGCTCCCTCAGGCAGCTGATTTTTGGGAGTCAGGAAATGGCAACAAAGTGTTAGCTATTTTGTTTGAAAACACAATAATAATTCCGTCAGGGAGAAGGGCTTGTGGAATTTTGTGCCTTAGGTGTCAAAATAATCCGTTTGGCTTTGGTCTCTGTGTGTCTTGGTTGGGGTATTTGCTGCCCAGCAAAATGTCTTGGACTAGTCCTGGTCAGGTTGCAATAAGGGACAGGAACAGGGGTGCAAACTTGAATAAAATATGGGGGGGGCAGGTAAGCCCTGACCTGCATAATCAATCGCATGGTGCAGCATACACACACTATTTGAATGGCAATGCCCATCAACTTTGGGGGGCGGACCCAGCACCCTCAAATATTTTATTGGAGGAACCAAAGAGATCTCAGCCCCTTGGAGTTGCCTTCTATGGGCAGAAGGATAGATGAAGGCAGATACAGGTGTCCGAATGGTACAGCAAAAGTTCTTAAAGTAGGGACTCTAGCTGGGGAATGACTCAGAGAGCTACTAAGGATGTGGATTCCACTTTAGGCAGCAAAATGTTTTCATGCAGCACTGACAGAAAAGCTTCGTTCACTGTGGCTTAGCACAGAGAAGCAAGCATGCTGGTCCAGTGGGAGAAAACTGTGGCAACTTTGCTCCTTCTGCTGCTGCACTGCTGGGAGTGAAACATGGCTCAGTTTTTTATTGTTATTAATGGTTTTTAACGCAAATTTATTACAGGGAAGAAAACAAGAAAGAAGATGAAACCCATCAGCTCACATCAAAAATACGATTAGCGTCAGTTGGTATTGGCATCTGTCTGTCTTGGGAGACAATGGAGGAGTGCAACTTTAGGGGTGAAGTCAAACAAACAGAGCCTGTTGAGGCGGGAGAAACATGTTTTGTTGCTGCTGGGGCAGATGGAGACATCTGGTTCTGCTGCTGCAGATGCACATGGTGTTTCTTCTCTCTGCACTCTTCCCGGTGGTCATTCCTCCTCTGGTCACTGCTGTGGATACACAACCTGGCTGTCTATCTCTGGACACTATGGTTGTCTGCAGTGGATTCCCACATGGCAGGTTAATGTTGCCAGCCTCCATGTCACATTTTGTGGGCATCTTTGTAATGCATTAATGCCAAAATCCCGCATTACCTGAGCTCTGCGAATGTGGCTTTCTCACAGTTGAAGTGCAGAGTGTTTGAGGACCGGGACATTCACAGGGAAACCAAAATGCTTGTTTACCAAGCTATTGTACTACCAACCACACTTGTGAAACATGGACCACTTATAAACGCCATCTCCAGCTCCTCGAAAGATTCCATCAATGATGTCTCCGAAAAAATTTGCACATCACTTGGGAAGACAGGCGAACTAATATCAGTGTACTGGAAGAAGCAAAGATCACCAGTGTTGAAGCAATTATTCTTCAACATCAACTTTGTTAGACTGGTCATGTTGTGTGGATGCCTGATTATCGTCTTCCAAAACAACTACTCTATTCTGAACTTAAAAATGGAAAGCGTAATGCTGGTGGTCAACAAAAGAGGTTTAAAGACTCTCTCAAGGCAAATCCTTAAAAATGTAATATAAACACCGACAACTGGGAAACAGCTCTGCTCTTCCTCTTGCCCTCAACGCAGAGGCTACTTGTGATTCCAGTAAGAGAAGCCTATATAGCATGAACCTTGATCTTTTTTCAACCTTTACTGTAATCACTGCAGAATTTCACCACCTGGGCTTTAAGCCTGATGAATGAAAGGTCAGGCCATTTTAGGCTTGGGGGTGTGATTGTTTTTCCAGCCTTTTTTTTTCATTCTGTGATGCCGTCAGTATTTGTGAAACATTTCAAACATAAGGAAACTGAAACCGCTGTTGTTTTCATCCATTGGTCTAAGATTTTAGCTGTTTTTGCTCCTTTTTCTTTTCTCCAGAAATACAAGAAAGAAAGAAAGAAATGTGAACTCTGTTGACTACCACTCGATGAGTTTTAGTGTTCTGTGCATTTAATCTTTTAACTGCAATGCTTGATTCTTTCTGATGGCTCTTATAATTGGCTTCAACAGCTAATGGATTTGTTTATATGAGCAGCTGACTTTTAAGATTAGCATGCCACACTGCTGTCTCGCGTAGTGATATATTACTCATGCAAGCAGAGCAAAAGGGAAGGAAAGGGCTTTCAGATTTTA